TGCTCCTATGATGCTGCTTGGCCTGCTGAGTTCATCCAGCTCTGCACCTTGTTGTTTGAATATTTTGGCTGCTTTCCCGAGGCAGCGACAAGTATAGACGGTAGGAGCAATTACTGCAGATGCTGGAATCTGTACTGAAAACCAAAAAAAATTCTGGAGATCACAGTGGGTCAGGCAGCATCCGTGGAGAGAAAGCAAGCTGACGTGCCGAGTCTAGATGACTTTTCATCAGAGAAGTCAATGCGTGCAAGGTTGACTGGTGTGTTGGACTGGGCGGTGTTGGCGGATGGGTTTAAAGAAAATGTCAACAAGGCGAAAATGCCCACCCATTCAATGTAAACGTCATCCTTGAGGCTACACAAAGGCTCAGCATTGGGTAAAATGGATTGACATCATTTCCGGTATTGTACTGGCCCGTTGAGGGCTTTTAGCAAATCCGAATCAGTTCCATGTTGACCACATCAGCATGAAGGGTCACGTCCTTGCGATTTTACTAGCCGCTCTCCTCGGTCAGTACAGCAGGTTCCCGCTGATTTTTTCCATTGTTTAACGTTCTGTAGTATCTGTGTTAACAAATAACTTGATCTGCATTTCTTTCACTGGCAGAGAAATCTGTCGCTCAAACCTTGACTCAGTCTGCAATGTCAATGACCAGAGCTCCGGGGAAGACTGTACGGTTTGAATGCAAGTTTGAAGGGAGCGATTTCGACAATACGGTTATCCACTGGTACCGGCACATCCCGGGTCAAGGTCCACAGCGCATGTTATATTTCAAAAATCCATCTTACACTCAGCAAGATATCACCGACAAAATACGATCTGCTGACAAAAAGCCTGCGACCAAAACGTGCAGCTTGCTCATGAGGAATATCAAGGAGGATGACTCTGGGGTGTATTACTGTGCTTTCTGGGCTCACAGTGACAGAAAGTCGGGGGGAACCCGCTCAAAAAGCGATCGCCATCCTGCTGATTGTTTGCAAGCTGTTATCACACAAACGACAGGTGTAGCATTTGGAGATTTCCACCAGCTTTTAATTCCACGCAGTACTGCACAGATAGTTCATTAGTTTTAGATGTTCTTTGAAGTGTACTATTAAACTTGGGAGAATAAAATTATTTTGCCAATCCTGTGAGATTTAGTAATGACAGATTTGACTGTGCTATAAATGGACATAACAATCCACTTACTGTGTTAACGAACAGCTCCGTTCATTTATCATCTTTGAGAAAACGCAATAGTGCGTTTCAAAGCCTCCTGTTGTCAAACGACTATCAATGAATATGCCACCTAAACTAACAAACTAGATCCAATATATATTGCAATAACATCCAAAAAAAAATGGACTGGGGAAGCCATTCAGCTGTTAGAGTCTGTTCTGACACACAGTGATTTTTAATGGCGGGCATGTGACCTAAACCAACTGTGGATCCGCATCCGTAAACTGGAAAGAATGTTGAGGGATATTGTTACAATTCTAGTAATCTCGAGCTTTGGACTAAGGTTCTGAATACAAATTCACATACGACTACGGTGGTTGAGGGAATACATTTTTAAAATATTAGACTCAGTAATACAATTAAATTACTAGATTGCCTTGAAAAGCAATTGAGTTTACGAGTAATTATTAGTCCGTGAAACCTGTCATCCTATGCGTGAACAACCAAAGCAGTCTCCGAACTGCTGCAGTGAAGTGAATTAAGAATAATACAGGAGAATCGATTGACTTTGACATTAGATCTTGCAAGATACCTCTCACACACCTGGGGTCTTGTGGCCATAGACTGTTCAAGAAATGGAATGACAGAATCATTCCTTAAACCACTGTCCCAAACATTAACTCTGAAACCCATGAATTTTCATATAGATATTTTTAAATCAGCCAGTTCAGACACGTTTTAACACACCTTTGAAGTAGGTGGGACTTGAGGCCGGAACCCTGATCCAGAGGTAGGGGCATTAACACTGCACCACATCATCACTTAGAAATTGCATGTCATGAATTTTCATAAAATCTGATTAAAGATGAGTGGGAAACTTTTAGTTGATGATGATATGCCCTCTTCAACTGATGAATCAGTGTTCTTCTGTATTAAACAAAACTGTGGACACAATTATTTCAAGGTTAAATTGTTCCATTAATCTCCAATTGCAATATTGGCATCTACCTCACTGTGTGTGCAATTTGTCAAACAAGTCATCTGCAAGAAAATTGTGACAAATCAAATTGGCTAATCGCTTCCCCTAACAGTCTTCTTTCAGTTATCAGCAAAGTAATGGAAGGTCCAAATGATAGTGCTATCAAGCAATAATTTGTGTCTATCTCTGAGGCGGGAGGTCTGGGATCAAGCCCCACTGGGTCCAGAGATGTGTCATAAGATGTCAAACAGCTTGGTTAAAATTACTCACACAGCAACAACATATTGACAGAAATCAGTTTTGGTTCAACTAGGGCTACTCATCTCCAGTCCCTATCAAAATCTTGGTCAAAATGTGTTAAAACAGAACTCAGCATTGCTTATCTTAACAGCAAGGAAGCATTTAGCCAAGTATGGCATCAAGGATCCTCAGTAGAATTCAGGTCAATGAGATTAGTTGGTCTGGGGTCTCTCCAATAGTTGGGATCATGCATTGCACAAAGGGAGATATCTGAGGTTGTTGAAAGCCAATTATTCCAGCTCTGAGACATCATCACGGGAGGCCATCAGGGTGGTGATCTAGGTCCAAACATCTCCAGTTGCTTCATCAATTCTCTCCATCATAAGATCAGAACTGATTTACTGATGGCTGCAGTGTTCATGATCATTCATTACTCATCAGACATTGAATCTTTCTATGTCTATTTGTACCAGAACTTGGACAACATTCCGACTTGAGCTGAGAAGTTCACACAAATGCTAAGCAATAACTGACTGCAGCACAAGGGAATTTAAGCACCTCACTGTGATTTGCATTACCATAACTAAGCCCAACAACAACAACAACATCCTGGGTGCTACCGTTGACTAAGTATACTAAGTAGGCAACAATATAAACTCTGTGGTTAAAAGACAAGATCAGAGGCTGGGAACATTGTGGAAAAATCTCAACTCCACACACCTTAAAGTCTGCCCACACATCAGCAGAAAGGTGGAATTGTCTTCAGTTGCCTGGATGACAGTGGCTATAACAATACTCAAGAAGGTGAACACCATCCAGGAAGAACAGCCCACTTAATTGGAACTCCATTCATCACTTCCCACCATTAATGTACAACAGTTGCACAGTGTACCATGTGCAAGATGCTCTGTAGCATTCACCATGGGTCCTCTTCCAAACCCATGACCTCTAGAAGAGCAAACGTAGTAGGTGAATGGAAACATCACCATCTACAAGACTTTCTGCAAATCTCACACTGAACTGATTGGAAATATCTTAATGCTTTTCACTGTCACTGAATCAAAATGCTGATACTCCCACCATGATAATGCTGGGTGCACATACAATGCACTGTCTGCTGTGGGTTTAGAGTGTACATCCCACAAAATAACTTTTAATAACCAAATATATTTAGCCCCAGACTTAAATTTCTCAATTGAATTAGCATATATTGCTTATAAAAATAAATTCCAAGTACAACTATGCTACATTTTCATTTCTTTCTGCTTTCATAGAATAGGGAAGCAAAAATATGTAAACCTCACAAAGGTCAAAATGAAAAATTACAAATGTAATCTCACATTATATTTGATGTGGCAAGTTTTCCCAATTTACCTAACATGTCTTTGTCCCTCTGCAGACTCATTTTGTCATCTCAACACTTGCCTTCCCACAAATTTTTATGTCTTTTTTTTAATGATTCATGGGATGAGGGTGGCACTGACTAAGCCAGCATTTATTGCTCATTCCTCATTGCCCGGAGGACAGATAAGAGTCAACCACATTGCTGTGGGTCTTCTGCCTTCACTGCTTCCCCTTTATCTGTTCCACTTGTTACCTCCTCAAAGGATTCTGGTCAATTTATCAGGCATGACTTCCCCTTCATGATGCCATGCTGATTCTGCATGATCATATTATGAATATTTAAAGACTCTGCTATTACATCTATTATAATAGACCATAGCATTTCCCCAAACCTAGACATTAAGCTAACTGGCCTATAGTTACCTGCTTTGTTGTTTGCTTCCCTTTTTAAATCAAGGTGTTATATCAGCAGTTTTCCAATCCTTCTTAACCTTTACAGAATCTAAGGATTCTTCTAAGATTACTATGAGTGCATGCACTGTCTGCAGCTACTTCCTTTAGTATCCTAGAATACATTCAACCAGATCCAAGTGGCCTATCAGTTTTCAGCCCTACTAATTTCCCTAGGATGTTTTCTCTATTGATAGTTATTGTATTGATTTCCTCTCTTCATGTTGTCCCTTGAATATTTAGTAAATTTGGAATGTTTTTGAGTCTTCTACTGTGAAGACTGATGAAACATATTTATTTAACTCCTCTCTCATTTCCTGATTCCAGATCATAATTGCCCAGTCTCATTCTCTCAAGCCCGATTTTCACTTTGGCTTCTCGCTTCGTTTTCATAAATTGAAAGGAGCTCTTGCTGTCCATCTTGATATTACTTGCAAGTTTACCCTCAAAATTTATCTCGCCCCTCTTTATTACTTTGGGTCATCTTTTGTTGGTTTCTAAATGTTCCCAATCTACTAGCTTCCATCTAATCTTTTCCATATTGTATGTTTTCTCTTTTGATTTGATGCAATCCTTAATTTCTCTTTTTAGACATGTTTGATGGACCTCTTTCCTCAAATCCTTTTCTCTTGATGGGACATGTCTTTGCTGTAAGTGATGGAAGTATTTTCTTAAAAATCTGCATTGTTTCTCAACTGCACTTGTTACTAAACTCCTTTTTCTGGCTTCAACCAGCTGTGCCCGCTTCCATTTCTAGTTAAGCCCATTTAATGCTCATTTGAGTTCCAACAATCACCAGGGTGCTTTCCACCATTTTCATTGGCAGAAATTTTATTAATGCTCCTTCATGCCACATATCAAATGCATCCTTGATGTCAAGGGCAGTCTCTGTCATCTCCCCTCCAGTATTAAGATTTATTGTTTGAGTTTATACCAATGCTATGATAAGGCCAAGAGCTGAGTGGTTCTGGTGAAACTGAATCTTCTAAGCATGTGCTACTTGATAGTATTATCAATCACATTTTCCAACATTTTACTAATGATCATCAGCAGAATTATTGAGGCAGTAATTGGCTGATTTGGGTTCGTCCTGCTTTTTGGGCGTATGACATACCTGGGAAGGTTTCCATATTTTTGGAGAGATATCAGTATTGTAGCTGTGTTGGAGTACCTTCATGAGGTATGCAGCAAGTTCTGAAGCAGAGATTTTCAGTACTATTCACAGAATATTGTTGGGGCAATAGGCTTTCACATCCGTGCATTCAGCCATTTCTTGACACTAGAGTGTGAATAAATGGTGTGAAGCAAAGCAAATTTTTAAAATACCTGAGCCATATCTTTTGCACTGATGTATTTCTCTCCCATCAATGAAGATGGAAATATTTGTGGAACCTACTTCTCCAGAGAATTGTTTAATTGTCCACCACCATTCTTGGCCGGATATGTCAGGACTGCACAGCTAAGCTCTGATCATTGGTTATGGAACAACTTAGATCTATCAATCACTCATTGCATATTTTGCTTGTCTGGAAAGATACCCTGTGTTGTAACGTCACAAAGCTGAAACCTCACTTTTAGATTTTCTTGTGTTTTGATCTGGTGTAAACCTCCTACACACTTCTCTAATCTACAGTTTTTCCTTTAATCAAATGGTAATGGTGCAGGGTGAATCTGTAAAACAATAATGTTGCAAATTCTGTTTGAGTGCCATTCTGCTGCTATTAAGAAGCTGAGCTTCATTTACCATCTCCTGTTTGATATTTCTCAATCTGACAAGTTTTGATATTGACTGAGAAATGGCAATTGACTCCTAGCAGCACAACATTTTTTTGAGAGGCTTGTGAACATCATCAAATTAAAGGGCACTGGCAAAAATCTTTCAAAAGCTCTGAAATA